ATTGGCAAACTTTGGCTTTCTTTTATTTTCTTCAGGACATTCTTACTGAGATTGCAACTTTATCTAAATTTTTTTAAACCCGATTTCTTTATTTTTATGACATATACCCACAATTCAAAATACTATTACAAAGTTAGAAAAAACTTATTTAGATCTTGATAATAATCCTTTTGAATTAAGTACTAATCTAAACAAATTTTTTATTTCTACTCCACCTAAAACAAATACAAAAATTAGTTCGCATACACTTACTTGGACACTAAATCAAGAAAATGATTTAATGTTAGATATTGTAAGTTTTACATCCATATTAATTTTGGAGATTCAAAAACAATTTTCAAATAATCCTTTTGTCGATGCTATGAAGATATTTAAGTTGTCTGATTGGTCATTAAATAATCAAACCATATCAGAATTCGGTAATGACAAATTATAATTATTACTTAATTTTTATGGAGAGCCGCAATACCCTTTATTTCCACTAGCAGTAATTAATTCTAATGATACACGTATAGAATGGTTTCATTTTAAACAATTAGTTTATAAAAATTATTCTAATTTACCAATAGACAAACTACTTGTTTTATTATTTCAACTCTTTTCCAAATATTGGTAAATTATTAGCAATAATTTACTCTATTTCTTTCTCTAGTGTAGAGTGTAAACGTGGGTTTTCCAAACAAAATTTGATTAAGACTAGGTTGCGCAATGGTCTAAATAATGATACATTGCACATGTTTATTATGGTTGGATTAGAAGAGACTGATGTAATGGAATTTAATTTTAATGACGCATTGAAGATTTGGTATCAAACTAAAGAAAGAAAGATAAATAAAGAAGATTGATTAACTATATATAAATTACCAAAAGTAAATTACTAATATATTTAAAATTAATAAATACCATAAGTACGTGCGTACAAGACCCGGTTATATGAGATTATATCATAAAAAATTCAAAGTGTATACACACTTAGTATTTAGACTAGACCGTCTGTTCAATATAAATTGATAAATATTTATGTTGATATAAATGTTTATAAGTTAAATTATATAAACATACTCGCAAAAATATATATTCTTCATCAAGTTTTAATAAAAACGGATATTTTAAAAGCAATTATAATTTTCGTCTTTAGCGGTTAAAGACAAGCAAGAATTATCATACATACGTATTTTATATTATATACTGTATATATATAATAATAAATAAATAAATAAATATATATATTATATATATATATTATTAAAGCAGTATTTGTACGTATCATATGCATTATCATACTGCATTCAATTGTTTCTTGAGCCAATAAAATCTTAATATAATGTGAATCAAAAACAACACTTATCAAATGGCCGGTATTTACTATGTGTCGTTTTAGCTCTGCCTCCGCCCGGTGAGAAGGGGTAACTTATACGTTTAGAAACTAAACCTAACTAAATCAAACACTCCAACAATTAATTCTACAATCCCAAGACTCTAAAGACTTCGAATTGGCCGGCAGAAAGAGGTGTGGAAAGACTTGGTCTGAGTGGAGTCTTGCTGCGGCGTATTTGGCGACTAAGATGAGTATAAACCCAAATTATACTTCTAACGATTGTTATTGTGATTTGGCGGGAGTATATATGGTCTCTTTCTTTAAACTTTGGGTTGGGCAATTTCCAGACTTCGATACAATCGTTAAGATTCTTAACGATTGTCACGTGGGTCACGTGAAGTTACTCGAATATCTACTGGTGCGGTGATCGGTAGTTAGTTTCTTACGTCACGGGTAAGAATATTCTGCAGATCAGGGGCTTAATTTGGCAAAGGTTTAATATGCCACGAAGATCGATCTAATTGATTGATCGATTGTTTCACTAATTAGTGATAACAATGGGTTACGGGTAGTATATGTGTATGTTTAAGGGTTTCAATGGCTAAGCGATTCTTTACTTCTAACTAATTTTTTTAAGGGGTCGAGGAACTTAGAGACGAGGTTTTTGTAGAACGGGGTACTTAGAGTTGATACTTCTACTCGGATTTCGAAGATCAAGACTCTTAATCGGGTTTTCACTATAACTGGATCAAGGTATATTCTAATCGATGTTTTTATTCGGGACAAGGGACAAAGATAAGTGTAAAATTACAGAAGTACTTCAACTGTAATGATTTCGAAGTATTCTTTAACTTGAGTACTCAACTCCAAGTCTGCTTTATTTTCAGCGCGAAGTATCTTCGCTTTTATACTTTTACAGTCTTAATGAAATACAGGTTTAGATAAGTTACATTTGGCCGCGAAAAATGATAAAGTTATTAAATCGACTATAGTAAAGAAAGTAAATAATGCGACTATATTCGCTAAAAGGGCTAAGGTTATCAGTGTATGAATAATTGAATTAGACGACCCAGATTCTAAAAGTGAAATATGTAAAGGAATGGCTGATCGAAAAAAATTTTTTGACATATATACTATATGTCGGAATAAATTTTATTTGTAAGATATGAGATAATGAGACCAACATGATTAACGATACTAACGATTACTAAGAAGTTTACATGATTATGTGAATTATAGTGTGTTTTATATGTTGAGCATCTTTAGGTTGTTAGGCTTAATAGATATTCATCATTTAATAGGTTTTGAGAAAATATAGCGATTTATATAATAATTAATTATTAGACCTTTTTTTTTGCGAAACAATATAATATTTTTGAAATCAAAAACCAGCAAAACTAGCAGTATCAATTATTAAGGATTAAAAAAAGACATTTGGATAGTTCTCAAGATCAAACGCAGTTGAGGGTGTGCCTGTATCATACTCAGTAATTCGGTTAATTCTGGTGACTGAAGTGCAAACATTTGGAACGCCTGGTTGATTCGTTGTCCTTTAACAAAATAAAAGGAAGGGTTAATGTTAAAGAATCTGAAAAACATGAAATCAGTCTTCATCCATACCACGGTATATTCACGCGTATCTGATCAACCCATGCTCCAATGGCATTGCCATTTGGAAATGTAAATACAACACCATTATGGCTTGTTGCTCCATTTGTCGTAAGATTTGTGATAATCGCAGCCTTATTTTGGCCGGCAACGCCATTTCGAAAACCTGGAGCAATGAGAACATCATTGAAACCTGCTTCATTCCACTCGAATACAAGAGCGGGCATATCTTGATCTTTCTTTAGAGCTTTGAGGACCAAAGTAGCTGTTTTACGATTTTGAAGCGCGGGAGGGAGTCTATCAAACGCTAAACATGAGAATATTAATCAATATGTATTGGCATGGAAATAATTTAACTGCTAATTTTTACACACATGTGTCGCTTTTTTTTGCAAGTTTTCTAACGTTTTTTTCTTGAATATATTTAAGTGGGTTAAACATATCTACGGACTAGATTATTATAAAGTTTATTTGTGATTTCGTGATTTAAAGAGTCCACTCATTAATCATTACCTGAACCATGTTTAGGAATTTGAGGACCAAAGTAGCTGTTTTACGATTTTGAAGCGCGGGAGGGAGTCCATCAAACGCTAAACATGAGAATATTAATCAATATGTATTGGCATGGAAATAATTTAACTGCTAATTTTTACACACGTGTCGCTTTTTTTTGCAAGTTTCTAACGTTTTTTTCTTGAATATATTTAAGTGGGTTGGACATATCTACGGACTAGATTATTATAAAGTTTATTTGTGATTTCGTGATTTAAAGAGTCCACTCATTAATCATTACCTGAACCATGTTTAGGAATTTTTTTTTAAGATCACTTTAATCCAGTAATCACGACATGCGGAATTTATTGTCACATGTTAATTGATATTGATGTCTTAAGAAGTGTGACATAGATGTCACAGGAAATTTTGTCTAAACTATTAACATCGTTATTTTTATTTAACGTTAATTATTTCACACTCACATCGCCTATATATTCCATCCGCTACTTCCAGCTTAAATAACTTGTTGGTATCAATAATTCATGTCTAATCGATTTAAAGGTTTTCCATTTCTGTTATTCAAAGGTAGCACTAGTGATATTACAACCACATAATCAAATCTAACCGAAATTAAGTATCGGTATGTTTATAGAATGAAAATAAGAAAAGTTTTTCGTGATACCGCTAGTGCTATTTTAGACACTAATGAAATCCAGTGGGTGTGGTTCGTACGGCGCGTATAATGCTGTAATGTTTGCCCTACAAAATCAAATTAGCCCATCGATATGTAATACGTAGTAATTATATATCTTTCAACGACAGTTCTAGAAGTAAATATCATGTGACTCTTAATCAGGGGGCGGGCGTAGTTAAAAATTATATGTTTGACAAATAAGGAAATGATAAATTTCTAGCAAAATCTACAAAATGCACGAAAACCATGTCATGATGATTATTGAAATTCCAGTACTTTGTAGAGATAACTAAGAATTGAATTAATAATGAAAAAAATATATATATAAAACATGAGGATTTTTGGGCTTGAGAAAATTTAAAAGCTTCGAAATTAATTAATTAACTTCCAATATTCAATATTAAATAATCCAGTATCATATAACTTCCAAATATTAAATAAAAAACCTTTTTTATTATAAAAAAGTCAAAATGTTTGTATATCCGATAGACATCGATTACGATCTAAGCCCGTATTATAATAATAATCGTCGTCGTCGTTACTACAATCCTCAACCTTGCGCATATTCGTATCCAAGCTCTCAACCGTTCTTAAGTTTCCAAAATCCTCCAAGTAGACATTATCCTAATCCATACCATCTCCACGAATCTTATTATGATCCAGAGAATATATTAAATTTGGTCTCTGGTCTTAACCATAACCAAAATCATAATGAAAGACATCATAATGAAAGATTTAATAATGGAAGACATCAGAATGAAAGACATAACAATGGAAGATATCACAACGAAAGACAGAGTGAAGAGAAAGACTACGAGAAGGAAAAGAGAAAAAATGGATTTAGAAGAGTAAAAATTTTCGGCCCTGAGGATGAACCAATTAAGAATAACCATAAGAATAATAATGCCCTCACTAAACAACAAGCTGCAAAAAAAATATATAACTTTCTAAAATATCAACCTTCAACGCGTAGAGCTCGAAAAACCCTTGGAAGACTCTTACACCTTCGTAATATACAAAATCAACTAATTTCCTTGAGTTCTCAAATTTCAAATTTCGAGACGCTTACTTTTACGAGTAAAGATGCCAAAAAACAAATATTACCAATTTCGAAAAGTAATAAAATGTTTCTTACACAAGAAGACGCTATATTGAGAATTCTGGATCAACTAGATAAAGTACAAAGTGAAGGAAATGAGATCGTTCGGGAAAGAAGAAAAGAAATTGTTAAAATTGCTCAAAAAATATTGGAAGAATTGGATGCTGAAAAGGAGAGGCAGTGGAAATTATTTTGTGATAGTACAGAAAATAGTGAAAATATTGAAAAAATGGATGATGAAAAGGAGGATATAGCTACTGAAAACATCGAAGGTGATAAAAAGGATATAGTTATTGAAGAAGTTACCGACAAAGATATTATTGAAAAAATGGAAGACGATAAAGAGGAGGACGTAGTTAACGAAGAAGTTAACGACGAAATTATTAATACTTCAAATGAGGCATCAGAGATAGAAGGAATTAAACCATATACAATTTCATCACCAGACGAAACGAATGTTGAAAATAAAGTTGAAAACGTGAAAAACATCAATACAGGCGACGATGAAAAAGATTTTGATTTTATTGACGACATCACATCTGATTCTAATTCATCTATAAATCTTAACGATGAAGAAACAGTGAATGTTCGCGAGCCGTTAATTGTTGCCGAAAATACAGAAGAAAGCAATGAAGCTGCCTTAACTGAAATTAAAGAAAAATCTCAAAGTGATGAACAGACTATTCTATCACCTATGGAGGACGTGGAAGATATAAATAAAGAGAACGATGATGCATTTGTGATTGTTAATAATTCTTCAAATTAGTTATAATTAACAGAACAATAATATATAGGATAATAATATATAGGACAATAATATATAGGACAATAGTATATAGGAAATAGAATTTATTATAAAACTTCTGCAATTTATAAAAACTTTGTAAATTTGTAGATAGTTATTTTATGTTTTAACAATTTTTTTCTTTTTATTATTACTAAGACATTTAATAAATGATTATGTTTATAAAATTCAAGACTATTTATATTATTTTATTAAGTCTTTCATTACGATTGAAAATATATAAATTATCGATAAATTACACGAATGATATGTATCGTCATTTTACGATTGAAAAAATAATGCAATTGGGTTCTTTCACAACAAAACCATGTTTAGAGTATATATATTTTATATACTCTAAGCATGGTTTTGCTGTGAAAGAACCCAATTCGTTTCTAGAAAACATTTTTGAAAATTTTTAAGTTCGGAAATAAATTAAAAAATTAACTTACGTTAATGGTTTTAACATTAGTTATTTTAATTTGAGCTCGTCCTGATCGCCACGTAGAGGCATATCTTTTGACGAGGTTCCCATATGTAAATAATCAAATTACATGAAGTTCGAACATGCAAAAATAATATCACTTTAAAACGGGTACAAGAGAACGAAAAAACCTAGTCCTAAAAAAAAAACTCTTGAAAATCTTTTGAACCAATATGTATAAATAGCTGGACTAAACCACAAGACCCCTCAAAACCTTAACAGGATAAAATACTGGCTAGCAAATCGCTCAAAGCGGATATATGAAAAGAAAAAGAAAAATACAAATTACGGGATCTGCACATTTATCCATTGGGACGAATGGAGAACAACACCATTGACATTGCTCCATTGTTCCTTTGAGAATAATTTCTGAATGGAACCAATGGAAGCCAATTCCATTGAGCTATCGGTATATGAGGTTAGAGATTAGAACCCTATTCTTTATCGGCTTCGTTAAATTTTCTACAGGAGCCATTGGCTCCATTTTTTCCATTGGTTTTCTCAATGGAGTATATCCATTGCCAACTCTGTATGCGCGTTATTTTCAAACCTAATCGTTACTATACTCTAAATCCGATGACGTTAAAGGACTGCGTGTTATTTTGGGACGCGGATAGTGCTATTTTTATAAGGGTGTGATTATCGAATTAGCACTTCTTCGAGGATTGAAACTGGTAAAAGATACATGCAATGATGTATGAATTATTTTTATAAGACCTAATTTTCGCAACAAATTTGTTCGAATTATGTAAAAGTTTATCCAATATCCGGAGAATGTGGTTAGCTTCTTTTTTTTTTATTAGTAATTAAAGACTTATGAAATAGGTCACATGCATTAATATCTTCAAAACAAGAATAGCAATAGCTATAGAATAAGCTTAAAATCTATATAATACGTAGAAAATGTACAAACAAAATCACATATGCATTCTATCTTTTATTCTCACACACAAAATATTATAGTACCATCGAGATACTTCTTTCGGATATTGTAACCATTACATTCAAATTTTAATACTGTATAAGCTTTATAATTTAATTGATTAATTTGTCAACGAAGGTATTAATCCGGTATAACGTAATATCGCTTACAGCCAAAATTAAAATGCATAGAAAGGAAGAGGCCAAGTCATCTATAAATGCTCGTTAAGAATGTCATCAATGGGCGTAGCAAAGCACGTGATGAGTAGACAAAAATCTACATAAGCATAAACATATAAATAAATACTTAATCACCGACAAATCATTCTATTATTTTTTACATTTATTTATTGTTTTACGAAGCAATTTGTGACATTTCCCAAAATTTTATAGATACGACAGCTCAATTAATAGAAAAAAATAAAAAAAAATAAAGAATACATATTAGAAGCTTAGCCCGGATCCCACTAAATATGTAACAAAGTTTCTTCTATATTACTTCAAACCCGAAGATAAACGAATAAATTATCTAATCTTCCATTGATGTAAGAACTTGAAACACCTCAAATTCGTCAATACAAAACTCATCTTCACTATTTCTTATTTTATTTTGATAACTAGTCCTAACACAACGGCAGCGAATATCTTCATTAAAATTATTTCCAAATAATCTTAAATCCGATTCACCACCACCAAAGCAAGGACCATAGTTTCCATTTTGATAAATAGCTTTATTTCGATCAACGATTTTGCTCAACACTTGATCGAAACAAAAAACTTTATCACCTAACGAAAAAATAAAACTTGAATTTGTTGGACTGAAATTACCAGCAACCATTGAGTGCCAATTTAAAGGATTATACCCTCCAAGTATTTCACCAGAGTGCTTTTCTCTTAAGATTGTGAGTGTGGGACCTATCCCATCACAATGATCATGAAATTGTTTAGGCGTAAAACCATCTTGAGATCCACGCAAAATTAATTTAAAATTATGGTTATAGTCGTCTGATAGTGAAGAAATATCTTTAATCCACTTCGAAATCACTTCTGCGTCATATGTTGTAATAAGAACTGAATTAATATTAATTGTTTTTAATCTATTATTAAAACTAACTAATTGAATAGACGAGTCTACTTTTTCATATAGTTCATGATCCACATAATCCAATGTATTTCGCCAAGGTTGTACTTCTCTCAAAAATTCATCGTAATTCATTTCATCAAATTTAATCAATGGAATGAAGGATTTTAAAGATTCACCCAAAGCATCATAATTTTCCGTTTCCCATTTTGTTTTTGGATTTGGTAAACCAGGTGTATTTTCAATTCCCCATTCGACAATCCTCTTCCATATTTCAACAGGTTTCATAAAGAAATGTTGACATTTGAAAAAAGATAATAAAGTATTTTGATCCATTGTGGTAAAATCGCTAGAATCAAATATTGTTGCAGGATTTTCTTTAATGAGTTCAATAACACATTTTCTTATTTTCGGATAACGTTCACCTTGTTCGGTAGCAAATCGATGAACAAAAATGAAATGTGACATTAATCTCCAAGGATGGGTAAGAAGATAACTCTGAATATACTCAGATAGATCAGGTATGCAAAGTTCGTCCGTAGCTTTTAGTACATCAAGAATTACTTTTGCATCATATTCTGCCAAGCAAACTGTGCCACCATACAAAAAACTAGAATAATTAAATGGAAAGATACGTGATAATATAAGATAGTAAACAGAATTTTTCATAAAAATAAAATCAACCTACGTACTTGAGAATAACTTCGAATACTTCAGGTGAAACATTAGGTTTAAAAAATAACATTATATTTTCCTGAGTTCGTACCCAATTGCTTGACAAAGCACTACGAAAATAAGCAGACCTTGCACGTAAGACAAGTGAATGCACTCGAAATTCTTTACAATTTGGTTCTTGTCCAGCACACAAAACAACATCGTAATATTCTCCAGTTTTAAAAAGTTTTATGTAATCGTTTGACAGTTGAGTTAATAAATTGGATTCCATTATTTCTCAAATTAGAAAAAGTTACTAGTTAATATAGTTAATTAATAATTTCATTACATGACTAACTAGACATGTTTTAAGAAGTAATTTAAGTATTGAAACTATCCGTATTGAACACAATAGATGACAAGTTTTTTTTTGATTGGCTATCATATAATTAAATGTCATTGGTTAATTGTTCGAAGCGCAGCAAATGATATGTAGGGATGCGAAGCAGCCAATAACAATAACTATTATTATTTTTTTAAAAGAAAATAAATATTGATAAAAAAAATGCTAATTAAAATTAATACAGTACCGGTATTTGCAGTGTTTGCACTGGATGTATGTCTAATTATTTTTAATAACTTGTATAGTATATCTAGTTTAATTGTTTTTGAATTTTACAGAACTGTAAAAATATCTTAACAACTACTTGATAGAATTTATATTTGTTGAATTTAAAATAAAAAAATTTTTATTAATCAGGTAGTTATTAAAATAACTTTATAATAATACGTATATTTATCTTAGTTCGGGTAAAATAATCGTTAAAATGCTTATATTGCTTTGCCTGTTTAATAAATATATAAAGTTTTATGTTAGTATAACACTCACGGTTTAACAATTTACAAATCTACTACTTGGCTTCATAATTTAAACGTAGTAGAAACTTAATAAACATTGCCAATTGCCGAATGCCCTACTTTTGTTCTTATGAAAACTTCGTGGGTAAGCAATTGAAAACGATTAGAAAAGATCTTTGCTAAAAACACTCAAAACGAAGAAATTTTACTTATAAATGAGTTTAACTTATTATAGTTAAGTGGATGGTGAAATTGCCAGTTTTTAGACTACAACTGTATATCAAATTTTCAATTGTCTATATAAATAGTTTGTATAACAATTATTTCAGAATCTATTGGATACGAGTTTTTGCTATGCTCTTATATATAATAGTCAAATAGTAGTACAAATAAATAAAAGCAGGACTGCTTAAAAAAAAAAAAGTATTACAAAAATAGGTTTAATACTAAAGTAAGAGTTAAAATATTTTAAAAATATATACTATATATAATTTTACTATAATAAATTTTTTAAAATATAGTAGCAGGTTAATTATTTAATATCTATATAATTATTTTTAGATAAAACTATAAAATAATTTAATATTTTATTTTATTTAAATTATTTAAAAATTTAATTAATATAAAGATTAAACCAAATTAAATCTAAAGTATAATATATATTTTAAAATAATTATATTTAATTCATATATAGTATTTGTATTTAAGTTTTGAAGTTTAATTTTTTTAAAGAGTTAAAGATCAGGTGTAATATAAAATCAAAAAAAATAGCGATCTTTTAAAAAAATCGCTTGTAGCTCATAATTTTGTTTATGAAACCTCTCTTCATGTTCTAACAAAAAAAATTCCTTGCAAAATTTTGGGTTAGAACCTTTTTGCTAAAACACTCTACTCTAACTCTAACCTAACCCTAATCTAACTCTTACCCTAACCTTTAACTAACAAATTAATTTATTGTTTTGATTTCACGTTACACCTGATCTTATAAGGTGCGTTATAAATACTATTTTTAAACAAAATTATAAATATAATAAAAAAGTAAACTTTGTTTAAAAAAGATTATAATATTTAAAAAGATAAACTATAAGTTTTTTATAGCCAATAGTCAAACTTTTTTTTTAAAACTTTGACGCTTTTGTCATTAACTTTTATTACTTATTTTAACCGAATATTACATATATTACATATATTTTACCTATCTAAGTAGTTGTTATGACCTTACCTGGCTACTTTATATGGCACCCAAATGCAACCGCCTGCACTATCTCACATGTGAGATAGACATCCTCAGATACCTCTATTAAGAAGCATCCTAAGTTCTGATTAACTCAGAACCTTAATATTTTTACTAATTCGTATATACCTCGCTATATATACTACTGTATAACGTCTACCAGTTATAATCCACCCCTCATATTACTCCTAATTCATTTCTTATATAACTTCCAAATTGGTGTCCTAGGAGTGGGTGCTCTTCTTGCTTCCAGTTTGGTGTCTCTCAAGATATTACTTCAGTTCCTAATCCATATCCCAAGACAGGTGCTACTACTATTCGAAGACCCGTATCTCAAGCTACCTGCTGCCACCATTAGGAGAGCTGTTTGCATAGTTTTAGGTATAAATATCATATATCACCAAATTAGGCTACCGCTTCTTTTATAGTACTTCCTATTGGTATAGTATTACAGAAGTCTAGATCCTTAGAACAGGAGTTAAGCATCTCATTTAATTACTGTCACAAGCCAGTAACTTAGGACCCACGCTTCTGTCTTGTTTTGTCATGCTTTCACAACTCCCATATAGGTTGTATGACACATTACTCACTGGCCAACTTTATTTTCATACTACCGGAGTGCTTGCTTCCATGCTTATCAGGGTTTCTTTTAGCCAGTTTTTCTTGTTTTCTTGTGCCAGAGGTGTTCCATATTTGGTAAAGCCACTCTCTTACTACAGCTCTAACTATATTCACTGCTTCTCTCACTACTTCTGAATATATTGCATATAGCTGTCCTCTCAATCAAGATCCCAATGCCGTCTTAGAGTTGTTGGTGCTACCTTGCCAATTGTGAATTCATATGCACAGCCTTCTGCAGTATTACCTTCTGTGACCCATGTCACACGCAGTGCCCAATCTTCTCCATGGCTTGGGACTTCTTCCAAGAATTCTTTATTGGCCAAATATGTACTTCACATGGTCTTACTGCCACAGGGTTTCACATTTAAAAGCCCCCAAAAGTTACAGAGATAAT